CAAACACTATCCAAAAATTTTCTAACCACCAATAGGTCTGACTGCTGTTACTGCTTTGCAGAGAATGGATTTTCTTCGTCTGACAGAGTAGGTAGAGGAGGCAGGGAACCTTTGATTAAACAAGGACTTGTTGTGCAGGAGGGGAAAAGTATGTGGTACATCTGAACAAGCAATTCATTCACAAATCTTACGCAGATCTAAATTTTCCAGCAACAGATTTCAACCAGTGCCTTTATGAAACAGGCATCACATATTCTCTCCCAGAACTGTTCAAAATCCTGAACAATCCGATATTGGTAGGATGTAACCTACCAACCTGCTCTTGTAACAGCTCTAAAGTGAGAAAACCAACTCAAGTACTGCAATATTGCTGTTAATGTTAGCATTTTCATACCAGCTTTCCACATTTCTCAGACTGAGGTGACTACTCCATATACTCTTTTTCTTCCTGCAAGCTATTTAAGCCTTCTCTAAGGGTTTCTGGCTACATCTGCATAACACCACAGCCAGAAATATTCCTTTGGGAGGAAGGTGGCACAGATCTGCTTTGCACTTAAAGCCAGCATAAAGATGGTGATAGAAAACTAAAGCTTTTTATCAGTCTTTACTCCATTCGGAAAACTAAAAACCTAGAACTCAAGGATTAAATACTTTAAATACCTATTTTCTGGTGTGAATGAAATACTTCATAGCATACACACAATATGCACTAAGTGATAGCAATGTAAAAAAAACCCTCATCTAATTGGATCAGTTCAGTATTTCAAAAGATGAACGAACAACTGTTAGCAAGGCAGGAGAACAAATATGTGCACTCTTCTATGAATACATCCGTGACTTTAAGGATCACCACTGAAACATAATAACCAGCAAGTTCAAGTTTCATTACAATATAAATGATTTTATTATTCAGCAACTGAGACTCTTAAGTTAGTTGTATGGCACAAGAACAGCAATTAATTCTTGGAAAATATGAAGAACTTATCAGCCAGCAATTATGTATACTTACTACTTGTTAAACTTGCAGGCTGAAAGATGATGGCTTGCACACGGTGTGTACATATAACTTTTAAAATACCTTGACTATCTAAAAAACAACCAGGAGAATGACTGTGTGACCATAGTTCGTTCTTTGCATCCTTGCAACATTTGAATATGAAAAGAGAATTCCAGTGCACATTTTGAGTATATGTATTACTCCTACAATATATCTACAGGCAGTATTCTAATTATTAATAGAATGTGTTAGAGCCACTATTATCTATTTCCTTTAATTCACAGTTCAAACCTTTTGTTCACTTAAATCCCAGTCACTCCCAATTAAACTCCAATCTTAAGTCTACTGAGTTAGAATAAATATTTTTTTGTCCCTCTGCGTGCCAAATAGTTTAATGAAATGCTGTACTAAAGCACGTCTGTTCATTACTTATGGGATCTTTTTCCTAGTATATCAATGTCCCATTTGCAACACCTTGAAAGTACCCACCTGAATGATTCAGAATCTATGATTAATTTTTAAACACATTTTAACTGGACAATGCACCATAAACAATGTTTAAAAAAAAACACAAAAGGAACTTTTAGAACTAAGCATATCCCATATTAAAAATAATAATAATAAAAATCACAACAGATAGGTGATCTAACTCTTTCCCATGCTGCAGGTTGTCTTTTCTGTATCATTTGCTGAAGACTGACAAACACTTTCTAGGGGGAGGACTTCTTTCTTTCTTTCAGTCTGTAGTCTACCCACTTCCTGCCCTCTCTTCAGTGTGCTCCCATCTAGCTTATTCCTATTCTATTTTCTCACATCTATTTTTCACTGTTTTTCTCCCTGGTCCTCTCTTTAATGTTTCTTTTGTTTATCACTATTCGTATAACCAATACAAGGCACTCCTTTCCCCTCCTTATCAGCCATCAGGCTGCAAGGGTTGTAAATCCCACCAAGTCATACCAATGCCAAACATTTCAGCTTCAAAATTAAAATACATCCCAATTTGCACACATTTAAAAATAGTTTAAAGAAGCCAAAGGTATTAATAAAGGAGAGACCCATTACACTGCAGAGTCCCATCTCCTCCTATACACAGCTGTTGTTCATCATATTAGGCTTTATTTTAAAGCATCCCAAAATTCTAACAATTTTTATCACTTCTAGTGACAAATTATTCCCATGCCTAGTAACAGTTGATGCTAATATCTTGCTTATCCACCCCCTTCCTTAATTTATAATTGCCTTTTTTCACTACCTTGTACAGCTTCTCATTACTTACCCATCCCATACATCAAGTATTTGCAAACACGTGAGTTCAGTTAAACTATATGGTACTAGACATTATTTTATAAAAGTAAACATCGCATTGCTCCAATTTTTCAAGCAAATTATGAAAGCTTTTCCATTAGGGAGGCACTTTTTAAACACAGTGTTCCATCTATAGTCACAACTATTAACACCGTGCTGTGACCCATAATACGAGGGCAGACCAGGCTTTTCCTCCTTCCCTATCTCTCTCCCCCCTCCACAACTTACCCCTCAATCCCTCTACACAATTACTTGTTATATTGACTAGTGTTCCTTCTCTCAAACTGGTCATTTTCAACACCAGTGCTTGCCATAATCTTCATGCTTCACCTCTAACGAACTTGGAGGTGAACTTGGAGATCAATGAACAATGAACTAGGCTTTATATTATGCTTGACCAAATATTTTCCTATTTTCCTGCCCTCACAAAAAGGTTATTTCCTATCTGTATTTACATATTTCTGACTTATTTCTTTTTCACACAAAATCTGAGATTTCATTAATATGATATTTTCTAATGCTTTCAGGTGAAACATTCAAAATATAATATTGTTGATTTCATATTTAACAAACATCCAAACAGATGACTCTAAATTAAACAAATCCCAAACTAATGCTGTTAAGGTTTCTGGAAGATAATTCTTAATCTATCACATTGACACTGTCTTAACTGTAAGAACTATCAATTTCGGTTATGAAGTAAAATATTACATCAGAAGTTTTGTTAAGATAACAACAAATTAAAAGTAACCGTGACATAACCATTGTATTTACAGAAAGTAGTATTGTGAAATACATATGGATAGAGGACTTTGCAATAGAACTAGTTACCTTGACTTAAATTCCAGATAAAATAATGGAAAAGCTGTTGCAGGGTTCAACAAATACAGAATTAAAGTACAGAAAATTAGTTTTAATGTCAGCCAGTCACAACTGTTTCATACAACGTTTGAGAACATATTACGTGGGCTTTGAGATTAAGTGCGTCATTGAAAAAAGTAACCAGACAAAATTAATATATTGTCATTTTAAAGGAGACTTGCTACCATACGATTGGTTGAAAACTTAGTTTTACATAATGTCAATAGAATACATCACATGGATTAAAGAACTAACTACAAAACAAAACCCCAATCAGTGAAGAAGCAAACCTGCAAACATCTGTAGGTAAAGTTTTATTAAAGCTCACATTACTCTTTCATCAGTATTTGCATCATCACCAATAATAGCTTTATCACCAATAATTTTTTATAAATAGTTGGTAAAAATATTAAGAAGAAATACTGTCATCTGGACTGAGAAGACAGACTTGTCAAGGAAGCAACAAATAGAGAAACACGGTCAAATGCAAAGAGATACTGCTAGGATAAAGGAATCCAGGCCATCCCTACAGAATAATGAGCGACCATGCCAGCAGCAAAAGTAGCAACTCAAGTGACTCAGCTAACAAGCCACTCCCTGCTAGTTGCCAGTGCAGCACTGTGGTAACAAGGATTATTATGGGTTTTTTTTAATTTAAGAACAGGGGAGGGAGAGTGGAGGAGAGACAGAAAATCTTCCGGTAAGACACTGGAATACTGTCCACAGTCCTAGAGTCCACGTTTTGACAGGGTTGGAAAACTGGAGAAGATGAAAGACATATCTATTAGAAGTTACATCAGAGGCTGGAGAAAAATACTTAGAGACAAAATCTTCAGCTTATTACAAAAACTTTGGGTTAGCGTTTTGAAAAGAAAGAAAAATACATATTCAAATTAGGAAAGAAATGCACAGCCAGAGGCTGGGAAGCTGATGACAGATCCACTAGAAATCCCATACAGATTTTGTGAAAGTGCAGTTTCCCCATCAAAACACGGTAACAATGGACACTGCAGATTTTCTCCAATGCACTCTTCTTCACAAACAGAGTATTCAGCAGATGAGACCCCCAGTAACAGTTTAATTTTAAATAGCCTTTGTTTTTGGTAGAGCTGGTATCTTGACCAAGAGAAATATTATTCCTGATGCTATTTCTAGGAGTTGGTCAGGTTTGGAGCCCTAAGAGTGTCCCATTTAAAGCCCTCTATAGTGAGTGATAAATGGAATTAAAGTTTCTATTTCAGAAAAAAAGGTCAAAAATTCCACCATACTTACGAATGAAAGTACATAAGTCTGTGGGTTGGAAAACAGTATTAATATTTCAATAAAATACACTAGTTGATGTGGTATAATAAATCACATTTTACAGTGCAATGTTAGCAACAGAGAGCAATCTAAACATCCTTAAAAACCCCATGGCAATTTTAGGAGCAATCTCACATTTTACAGTGCAATTTTAGCAACAGAGAGCAATCTAAACATCCTTAAAAACCCCATGAAACTCAAATGCAACAGTAAGTATTCCATAACTACAATGTATAAATCCAAAGCCTTAGGTTATTTACCAGTTCTCAAAAATCTAAACATCACTGGAGTTCAATATATCAGGCTTTTAGAATATCTACAGTTCTAATTGATGATCCAAAAATGAGGATTATGAAGCAGGATAGAATGTGCACCAACAACTCTTTTGAGTACCAAACAGCATACCAACAGCTAATATATGTATGTATTTTTAAATCTTTCCCTGCCCTGTAAACCGTTAAACTTTTCTGGAATTCACAAAGGCACATATAGAGAAAACCACTAAAAAAGTGGATTAAAGGCATTTGGTACTCACTTGTCTATCTCAATACCAAGTGGATTAGCTGGACGTAGGGACAAGGGGGGAATCCCTTTGTTCCTATCAGTGCGCATGTCATAATAGTTCATTTCATCCACCCAGACAGCAGACTGATCCAAGATACCTAGAGAAAACAAAGCGCAGATCCTTAAAACAACAAGGGCGGTCCAGCACCATCAACTTCTAACATACTGAATTAATTTGAAAAATCCTGATAAATATAAAATGCATGCCTAGGTAATATATTGGAAGATACATGGCAAAACAACCTGGATGCAATTATGCTAAATTATTTTATTATAGCTGCTGAAAAGGTATTCATGGCTGGGCATCAAACATTACCTCTTAGAGAGCGCAGCTTCGTGTACATTAAGAGCATTTTCCTGATCACAGAGTATTAGTATTTTTCATTCCTCCAAGTATTTTGGTATCTGTCCAAACCTTGCCATCTACCACTTTCAGAATGAACAATTGTCTGGAGGTCATCTTATTTACATGTTTTAGGGAAAATCCCTTTTCTGTGCCACTCACTAACCAAAAACGAAGTTAACTTTGGCCACATGCCAAGATGGATGACTCAATGGACACAGGACCGACTTGGTTTCTAAAGCCTTAGTACAGACAATGCGTAAAGGTGAGGTGAGGCACAATAGGTTTTGGCCCTCAGCCAAAAATGCAGCCAACCATACTCTTGGCCATGTCGTTCTTTAACATACCCATCAGATGCTCAACACCAGAAATTACCCCATCCGCACACTTACCCATTTTTTTTAAATAACAATTCTCCTCTCCCATCACCAAAAGCTTCACCGTGTAGCATTTGCACTTGATTCACCTTTCTATTATTAAGATCTTAGTACAGCTTGGGAAAAATTATGCGTTAGTTAACTGTCACTGAACCGCAGAGAACAAAAGCCTAAAATAGTTCTCGTGGGAACCGCTATGTTAGAAAAGATAACTATCCAACTTCATTGACGGAGGTGTTCTGAAAGATGCATTTTCAGTCCAGAGGGTATTTAGACTGGATGCTAGATTAAGCAGCGGTGCTAGACTGCTTGGCAACATCATTTTAATGGTTAAGCATCTCATGAGAAATACTTAAGACTCCATCTAGCAGGATGGTTCGAATTACAAATAAGAAATGGCACTGAGGACTCAACTTTCTTTAAAGCATTAACTGTCAGCTCAGGATTTAGGTGTAAAGCTCATGAGCTGGTTTATATTTTGTATTTATCTAGTACACTTAAGAGTAATTACTGGATCTGTAATGAATTTTTTAAAAATTTTAGAAGTTTAGTACTATTCCTTACAGAAAAATAAAGGGCTACCTTTCATTAGTCATTGAGGGTTTTATCAGGATATTGACAGAGGAGGATTAATTTCACGTATACCATGAGGTTTTCTATGTATATATTTGCACATTTTATTGATATACTCTGCTTCTTCTAGACAACTGAAGATTGTCCTGAGGTGGATCCATTTTGAACATACATTTTATTTAAAAAGGCAGTCAGTCATATATTTGTTTAGCAAAGAAAACAGATGTGAATTTGAACAAGAAAAATACCTATTTTTTCAGGTTTAAGCAGTTTGAAGGAAACAGTTGAAGTTCCTTTGCCACCAGACTTCGTAGTAACAATAATGTCTCCCTTGTCATTTTTAGCCTGTCCAACTCGACACACAATTTTACTGGCAGACATCCATTCAGCAGTTAGCAGACAGTTGTGCCCACAGATTGTTAAACCTGGGGAAAAGAAAAAAAGAAATACCCTACTGTGAATAGAAGTATCTTTTGACATTCTGTGATGCAAATACATTTATGATGCTTCATATATTTTACATTAATATATGACCCTTCTCTAGTCCCTTACAGCCAACTACAGTGAAAGTGTCATCAATATGTTTTTCAGACGTTCCCTAGGTGACTTCAGGTCTTTTGTCCTAGTGCCACTTCATGAGACACACGCAGTGCTGCTTGAAGCTCATTTTAATCTCTTCCACCAGTTATGGGCTACTGCAACTTGTACTTCATGTTGTACAACAGATCTTCTGTCTGCAAGACACTAGAGAACTGCTGTTCAGTATTGTACTTACATGAAACTCCCGTCAAAAGTGCATGCAAAAAATCTTTGATAAGTTCACTCTGTGTGACTTTGCATAGCAAAAAAATAAAGAAACTCTGCAAAATATTCACAATGAACAATGTTTCTTCAACCTTCTTCGTGTAGCAGTACTTTTGCTGACACAGAAGGGGCTTTTGGTCAAAAAAGTATTAATTGACAAACACTCTGTCCCAATCTCTTCTGTACAAAATCCATGATGCAAGACTGATTCTGCTGAATAAACTGCCCTCGTTGTATGAAACAGTCATGTAATGTTCATCTATCTCCTTCTCTAAACTTCCTCATAACAGAAGTACAAATGACAACCTATGAAATAAAAGTACAACATATATTTTAGCCATGAAGCGCTCTCATAGGAAAAGACTATGGCGTATTAAAATATGTCAAGCTTTAGTGTTTAAGAACACCTCTTAACACTTTAGAGTCAAGGTACACCTTAATGTAAAGTCCAAGGCTTCCTGGGGCTTCACGTCAGATCAGCCTGACCGACTGATCAATCTGACCGATTCTGGTCAGATCAGGACTCTGGGTGCTGGAACAGATGGATTGTTTTCTCAGATCTAGAACAACAGTTCCCATATTCCTAATCAGAGTTTTGTTGTCCTGAAGAATTGGCAAGATCCTAATTTCTGTAGTATCAATTTGGAGAACTTCATTAGGTTCTTCTTAAATAACACCCTTGCCTAGAAACATTTCCAAAAGGACAAGGCTGTACTAGTGTGTTGGCTGTACTGGAGTATAACTCCCCTGTTGGCTTGGCTTTTGTTTTTAATTTCTAGAAAGCTCTGACCAATTTAAAAAATACTTACAGATAGAAAAAGGTCAGCATATGTGGCTCAGTACCAAAGCTTCACACTTACTTTTTCCTCACAATTTAAGTCTCTGACATTACACAGCAGACAAATTTGGTAGTTTTCATGGCTGTCAGACATAAAAATGCCTTACTCCCTGCCAAAAACTATTTTGAAAATGAAAACCAAAAAATAAAAAACAGAAAGGCACTGAATCTTATTACAACTGAAGGCAATTTTACTTGAGCAAGGATAGTACATTTGTTTCTTAAAAGATGCCTGAATAAAAGGAGGGGAGCAAAATAGCATACGCACACACAAAAAGCCTTAAAATAATAAAAAAAAAAAATTGGTTGTTATTTATTTGCAACATCTTAACCAGGCCAGTTTTCATTTTTTAGAGGGGAAGAAAAAGCCACACATTTATGATGCATGGGTTCTGACCTTAGGTTATATTATTACATCTCTTTTGGTTTTATGCTAGCAACTTCTCTGAAGGAAAAAAGACTGTGGTAGGAACTAAGACTAACTGAAAGAATTTGTCTGAACCATTCATAAAGAGGTTTTCACCCTAGAATTTCAAAGGTCTGAATTCATACTTAAATTAAGTAATACTTTAAAATCAGTATCTGAGCTATAGCAATTTAGTAGGGTAAACATTTTTGAACAACTGTTTTAAAGATCCTTGTATCAGTTATTTTCTACTCATCGGAGGTTCCTAAAGCTCTCAAGAGAGTAAGAGCACAAGATCCGATACTTCTGAAATGGGAGGGAAACAGCCTTTGTCTGTATCTTAAAAATGCAAAAGAAAGTAAGTCTCTGTTACCATTTTATATAGCACACTAAATATAGCAATGGCACAAGACAATTTCTAAAACAAATAAAGTCATGTTGGGAGAGACCTTTTGATAGTACAGATACAACATTTTTTTCTCCAAAAAGAGAAAACTTCCCTTTAAATAAAACTTCATTTTAATCTGTTGCATTGTACAAAGATCTTTGAGAACATTATACTGGGGATCTAGCTTTTATGTGCCTTTCAATAAATAGGCACATCTAATTCTCTCATTGAGACTTTCCAATTTTGGTTAAGCTTATATATTGACAATTTTACAATGCCTACAAAATACAGCTGCAAATGTCTTAAAAGACAAACTAAAACTGGAGAGCATAAGTGTTGCAGGTATCTCCTGGATTTGGCTTTCTGTACCGTAAGTTATAGAATTAAAAATAAAAAGTTTATTTGGTTTCAAAGATACAAATAGATTACAAGAAGGGTCTCTTAAATGAAATGAAAAGGCATATTCTTCTATTATGTGATATTCTGTTTATAGAAAAAAAAAAGTTTCTTGCTTTTCATTTTACTCTAATGCATTTCAAATAGCGGATTATAAAACTTTACAAAACCCTCATTCAAACTTGCTTAAATCTCATGCCTACAAAGGCTCACTTTTGCAACTATTTTCATTCAAGTCACAGGAACTATGTACATGCCTAATTTAACCATGAAAAGAAATCTCTACATGTCTGGGGCCTTAGTCACTTACTGGAGAAAGCTGAGAATTGAGCTGAGGAAAAAAATAAGGCAATCCATTATTTATTTTTACCTCAAAGCATGAGATTATTAGCAGCTATGTGTTACAAGTGTTACTCTGAAAAAAATACGAGAAAAAATATTAGCAGTTAATCAGCTGTAATACTGAGGCACAGTTCAGGAGATGTCTTCCTTTCAAGAACCTAGCACTGATCACTTCTGAGAGGATCATACCAATGAACTAATGAGGTTATCGAAGTACATCAACCGCACAAATACACAGAAATATACTCACCTATAACATCATCAGTTATTTGATTATTTCTCAATAAAGATTCATTAGTGTACCGCAACCTTGTCTAGCAGCTCAGGAAAATACTACTTCCCCTTTTGAGAGACAGCAAACTGAAATGAAGGGGAAAACTGTAGTAGCTTATGCTTGGCCATAAAGTTCATTGTGGTGGCCAAGAATGGAATTCGGAGATCTTGGTTTACAGCCATGAAGTGAAATATTGTTTCTAGCAAAGCCAAACAAAATTCCAACGGACTTCAGAGGAGTCATGATTCCACAACAAATTAGATAAATTGCCTCCAACATGAATACTGAAGTACACATATGCTTAACTTACAAAAGAAATAAGGGAAATTCCAGTAGTTATAGCTAACTTGGATTTCCAGAAGATTTTACAAAGTCCTTCTCAAAAGGCTTAAGAAAATTAAGCAGCTATATGATCCTCAAGTGGATAAATAGCTTGTTAAAAGATAGAAACAGGGTTACAGTAAATGGTGTATTTCCACTGAGGAAAGTTTCCACAGGGTATGTGCTGGAATCGCTTACGTTCAATATATTCATAAATGACAAGATAAAGAGGTTACAAAGTTTGCTGATGATACAAATTTATTCAGAATGTAAAGACTGTAAAAACTAGAAAAAAAATGCAGAACAGACCTTATGAGACTGAGCGGATGCACTATAATGTAGATGCTATAAAGCAGCAGCTGAAATGCAATGAACGAAGATATGATGCACACAGGCAAAACCTTAAATTCCCAGATTACAGGCTCAAACTGACTACTAACCCTCAAGCATTAAATCATGGGACTAGAATAGGCAGAAGAACAAGAAACATTAGCTCGGTACTTAGTAGGAGTTATACGGAAAACAGAATCCTACGGAAGAAATACAAAACGAAAGTGAGAGTACAGTATTACGCCATAGTACATTCACATCCTGAACACTGCATGTAACCAAGATGTTGTTCACCCATCATTGGTAGTGAAACCAAGAGAGATTCACTGAAGAGCAACAAGAAGGGTCAAAGATATATGCAGAAAATTTAAATACACTAGGACTTTTCAGCCTGGAGAAGAGGCAACAGAGCAGTGATAATCAAGATCTGTGTGGTCAGGAGAATCACAGAAAACTGCTTGTTCCCTCTTTCAGCGCAAAAGCTATGATGATTCAAATGAAGTTACCACGTTAAAATCAAAACAGCGAAGGAAATGGTTCTTCACATAACATGGAGCTCAATCATTGAACCTGCTTTGTCATTTCTGTTGCAGATACACAAATTTACTTTTACACTAATTCAAGGAATAGCAATGCTCAGTGACTTTCTCAACACATTGAAAACACTTCTGATAGGAAAAGTCTCCATGCTGAAGTTCCCAATGCCGGGGAAAGTAACAAAGGAGCATCTCGTTACATCTGCCCTCTTCTAGTTCCACTCCCATAGGCATTCATTCTTAGCCAGTGTTCAGCACAGGATGTTGACTCAGGCTAAGGGTTCATCTAGCAAAGTATGGTCATTCTGATTAGTTACACATCGGACAGCATCCCTGAATTTATGGATTCAAGCGTGTATTTGTGAAAAGGGCATTCCTCATACCATGCAATGTAGACTTTACCATGCAAAAAAATTATCTCTAATCATATCTTAAATGTGACATTCTACAGTCTCAAAAGAAGTTTTTCTTCCAACTTACCTATGAGGTCTGTAGGCCCAGTCCCCAGATTTTCTCCTCTAATTGTCACTTTTGTCCATGAGATGCCTTCATTGGGAGAGATGCCAGTTACAAGTGGGGGCTGCCGTGCTCGAGACATGATGTCTATTCAGTTACTGAAAACTGAGTTGCTTTTATCTGTGCAGCAAGAAACAATCCTTTAAAAACAATAATTATATTATGTAAAAATTATTAAAAACCTTTTAAGCTGTTCTTCTAAAATGATGGAGAAAAACATGAATGTAAATATGGAACACCACTCTCAAAGTCTTTTTTTGCCACAGTCATAAAACAATAAAGAATACCTACATCTTCTTTGCACTTTTTTTTTTTAATTAAGTACAGGTCTAGTTGTGAACTATAAAGTATATTCAGAAAAATAGTAGACCCTCAAAATGCTTAATGAAACTATACACACACACACTCCAAATCACTTATGTCAGAATTCAAATGAGCCTGTTCAGTCCTCTATTAGAAAGTTATTATAGTAGTCCTTAGAAAGTTTAGAATTGCTAAGCTAAGTAATAGACTATGATTGCATATTCGGATTACTTCCCCATCAAAAGTAGACTTACTGGCAGAGACAGTCCCATGGGGAGAAGCCCCCAGCACTTATTTGTATAAAGCATCAACATTTACATAAACTGAGAAAATTAAAACATTACTTACAGGCACTACGCTAGCAGAGAACATCAACAAAACAAATAATATCCCAACAGATCAACAAAAACGTACATAAAATTATTGAAGAAGCGTATTGAAGAAGAGTATTCCTTTGCACCTGAAGTTAGGAGTTGACTGAAGCCAGTTTAATTAGCTCTCTAATAGAAACACCAATATGGTACACGTTATGCAGCCTACATTTAGTTTACTATGCAACTGATCACAAATTCTTATGGCTTATTAGCAGTTTCCTTTGTGCAGCTCTACAGCTGTAAGAAGCAGATGAGTATAACCTGAAGCACGTTAGCTCCCACCAACTTCTCCACATTTACAACACTTACTAAACATAGAGCCTGCCCATAGGTACACAGGTCCTACAGAAGTCATAAGACAGGCCAAAAAAGTTTCTTTTAACAACTTCCATGGTAATTTTGCATCATCTATTCCATTTCATGACTCCTGAATTCTTCTACTAAGACACAACAGCTTCCTTAAAATTCCTAGTAAAGAAATTTCATTTGGCATTCTGGAACTTTGGAAAGTTATCTATGATCAGTTTCTTACAGGAATTCATCTGCATTGGAAAGGTAAGAACCAAAAATAACCTATAGGAAGAAATGTTTTTATTTCTAAGAAAATCCAGGAATGATGAAACAGGTCAGTATTCAAAAACCTTAGGTACGCGTATAGAACACTTTAGCGTACACAATTTTAAAATTTCAGGTCAGTAAAAAATATGTGGAATATAAGCCAAGCTTCATAAGGCTTCTCTTACTTATTTTTATTTTGGATCAAGGTATATTTTCTATTTTTATTTGCAAATAGTCAAGTATATGAAACCCAGAACCTCTGTAAATCATCCCTAACAATAAACTGCAGTAAAGTTGCAGTTTCCTAGCACTCGCAGTTAGGAAATACCAAAATTAAGTAAGCTATCTTTGTTTCAGCCGCTTCTGCATATACAAAATACATTCATCGTACCATCATACACCACGCTTCTACACAACCTCCCCAAATTTTTCAGTGTTACCAGATAGATCTGCCATGAGGATCAAAAAAGCTCCCACTGACCGGTTTCTTTCTTCATGTTCTGAAGTTGGAACGCACATTGAAAATGAAGATGGAAATCGGAAAGGCAGGAATAAGGAAGATGATCTCATGGGGAAAGTAATCAAAAACAGGATCCTGTTCTGGGGGCAGTATATCTATACCACAGATGCATAGCAGGTCACTTACAATAAAACTTTACAGTAACTTTTTTTCTTCTCAGTTTCTGGGTGTCTAACTTCAGAGCCCACAGCCACGCCTGAAGTCAGGTCCCCCCTGAACATAGGGAATGCTGCACAGGGCTCCAAAATATTCAGGTCCTAAATAACCACCTCAAATCTATAAATACATTTGATCTTAAATGTTTGTTTCTCAGTTTCACGTATTTAAAATAGGAATGCTATCACACATCTCAAAAGCTATTTTGAAGACAAATTCATTAATATGGAAGAGGCATTTAGATACTCTGAACACCACAGAACTATTAATATTTTTAGAGAACTTTTGAGACTACCTTTGAAGAGTGTGCAGTTAATAAGAGATGCAGATTCCTGTTAACAAGCAAGAACATAGTAAGTTGCAGTATGTGAGCCATGTCCAGTACATGAAGGAAGTCTGGTAAGAGCCTACGATAACACGCACAACACATGTCTGGAACTAAGGTGGTTTGTTTTGGTTTTGTGTTTTTAACTGGCAAACCTCATAATGTTTCTTGACTGGTTGACTTTACAACATTAAAAATTACATTAAGTTTTTAATAAAACATTAATTTCCCAGGTTTTTGCAAACAACAAACTCATGAAAAAGGAATTAAATTAGACAGTATCATACAGATGCTCTTAATAAGTCTGTATGTAAGATACTGGAACCTTTTACATGAACCCATGAGGCTAGAGAAGTGAGTAGTCAACAGATGCAGTCTATAACCTTGTGGGTAGAACAGCACTGAAGGAGAGGAGGACTGTATCAGCAGATTACAAAGAAATCAGCTGACAGTCATCTCCAGCTACAAAGGGAAGGTTGTGCTCTGGCAGGCAGAGTCTCCTCCCTCCTGCTCCCTCATGCCCTACTCCTATTTCTTTCCCAGCACGGTTTTTCCCCTCACACAGGGACGAGGCAGTCTCTGCCTCACTTCAAAACTGAGGCCAGGTCCTAGTCTTGCAGCTGAACTATGTCCTGCCCCTATCCTGCCGATTTTCCCTCTGACTTCTTATCCGTAAGTTCAAGGAGGGAGGGAGAGAGGTGTTAATATCCCAATTCTCCTTTCAAATCCTGACAGCTTGGTAATTTCTCTTCCTTACCCTGAGCCTTCTTGTCCAGATATCCCACCTGCACTATTATTGATCCACTTCCTCGCCACAGGTGAAAATGATAGACCCAGTCTTCTGTCAGGATCCCTAGTCCTGGAGTCATAAGGCTTGCCCAGCTCTCCTCTCATCTGCGCTGCATTCAAAGCTACAGTACAACAGCATCGCCTGACAAAACAATGGGCAGCACAATAGAAATAAGCTTCCCAGTTCCCATTGCTAAACCTAATACCACCTGGAGCAATCAGAATCCAAAATTGCAGGGCAAGTCTTGTTTATTCCTATACAATTACCAGACGCATATGCACAGAAGTTCAGACCTTTCAGAATTTGAAGTTTCCTCTGGAGTCCTGTGCAAAGAGGATGTCCGAGAAGAATCAGGTGCCTAAGTTTACCTAGAGCAAGGAGGACAAACTGCATCTATTCCTCATGATCTTATCTACGCAGTCTTTGCAGCTTTTCTCAGAGCCCCAGCAGAGCTTGAAGATATACAACAGCTGTAAAGAAACAGTGGGGTTACGTCCCCACATACACACCTAGTCACCTTCTGCAGGAAGCAGCATGTATCTAGATACCAGTAAGAGAACATAAAACACCTCTTCTACTTTTGAGCAATTTTTTGGTAAAGATTTACATAGAATGATAATCAGTAACACAAATGTAAAAAAGCCATCTTCAGAAACTCAGTGGTAATATGGAGAGAAAGAAATCTTGAGGAAAACAAGTAAAATAGAAGCTACACTGTTATTATTTGGTTGATTTTCTCCCCCCCCTGCCCAAGGTTATGGTTCCCTTGCATTGCAGCCATTGTTTCTTTCAAAATACCTAGGCACACAGGTAATTGGTTTGAAACAATACCAAAACTCAGAAGTAATATTACAACATATTTTTCTGGATTTCAGAAATTGGCACTAGATCTCCCTTCATGATGAGCTGAATAAATGCAATAAAAATGCTGAGCCTCCTGAGGTCTAATATTTCTTCTAAAGTATTTCCATACTTACTGCAGAATTGCTTTAAAATACCTCACTGGAATGAGAAGACCACAGTAAATCTCAACACATTACAAAAGCACCACAGCACTGAGATGCTTTATTATTATTATTATTTTTAAACAGCAATTGGTTTCATTTATTTCAAAGAGTAAGTGAAGGAACTCTATAGAATCTGTCCTTACTACAAATACCAAACAAATGCTTGGGAGCCTTCAATTCATTTATAACATTTCCTCTCCTCCTTCTTATGACAAACATGTCAATAGTTAAAATGACTGAACTGCTTATTGGGAAGCCTAGCCAGTATACTACTGTGGCCCAAAAGCAAGTTTCCAATTTTTTTAAAAATCTTTAAGGCAAAATTGAAAAAATAATTACTTTTTTCATTTCATGAAAAGACACAGTAATATAATTAAGAGCTTTTATTGCAATTCTATATATTGCCCTAAAAAGAAGTTCTATTCCTTACAAATATGTATTATGTATAAAATAATAATAATAATAATAATAATAAAGCAGCCTTCTTACTGAAAGACTGGTTCTTATACAGACTAGGGGAGATTGCATAAAGACAGTTTTCGACACAAGACATTTCCTCTGAGGAGCGAGGCTCACTGAAGAAGTGTTAACAAGACTATTTTTTTGCAATGGACAATCATCTTCTACACTAACAGAAGTCTCTTTTCCTCTTTACTCACCCCCCCCCCCCCTTTTTTGTAAACTTCATTTCCTCACAATATCTCCCCAACAGTTTAACATGGATGACATCTGTTTGACTGCTCTCATGATCTTGCCCATATTATTCTGTCATAATTCTTGTTATGAAAGTGCAAGGAGTTAGAAAGCCTCTGCAAAGACCACCTACTACAAAGCCATCTTGAAAAATGCCTTTCATAAACATCATCTTTGTCCATACATGAGCTTCTCAAATAAACTGTCCTCTCACGAAGGTTTGGTTAAAAAAAAAAAAATCCAGACAATTCTGAGCATTACAAACTTGCTAAAGAGGGGACATCTTTACTCTTTATCCTAAGAAAAGCCACTTTAAAAACAAATAATGAAGAAATGAAATACGGCCCAACATAAGGGAAAATACAAGTCTAGTTGCTTTTTTGGCTTTT